GGGAGCAGCCGTTGGGGGCCAAGACCATCTCATAAACCTGGACCTAACACACAGGGAGTGACTACAGCAGATTTCTGAACAGCAGCGTAATGGATGGGGAGTCTCTGCCCCCTGTGCAGCCTGACGGGCTTTTAGCCAGGCGTGTTCAATCAGGAAAAGGAGTCCCTGCTCCGGTGAGCAGCCACATGCTGACCGCAGATGCCACAAGCCCAAACGGGGATGGAGGTGGTGCCATGTGCTTAGCTGGGACCTGCTCTTTGCAGTTTGCTGGGATAAATCCCAGAGCGTGGACAATGATGCCAGTAAAGCGGGACTTGAGGACTTTAAAGAGCCAGTGTGGCCTACCTATGGTGGAGGCTGTAGGACCAAGACAAAGCTAGACAGCCACGCTGTTATTCCTTATCAAATGCAGGAATAGGAGCACACTCCCCAAAATTCCAGTACAAAACTGCCCCAAGGCTGCGCTAACACCAGTAAGCCCAGGAACCTGCTGGCCATAAAGGTCCCCGAGGCCACTGGCTCAAAAGGACGCTGAGGTGGCGATAACAAGAACACCCAATTGCCTCAGAAAGCACAAATAAACCCCGTTGTGTGTGCTGGCCCTGCTGCCAGGCCTGCGGCAGCAGCCCCTCCAACACCAGCTGCTCCTGCCAGACCTCGCATCCCGAGATCCCTTAGGAAACCCAGGGGTGCCCCTGTGGGGCTGGTGGGGCCGTCCCTTTTGGGCCATGCACCCGCCTGATCCTACGGGAAGGTTGGCCCGTTCCCCCCCCCCCCCGACAGTCCTGGCACTTCCCCTGCTGCCTCCTCCTGAGACCCAGCCCAGCCCTGCAGGGCCAAACCGCGGGGGGACCCGCCGCAGCACCCGCTGCACTCCCAGGGGCAGAGGGGGACAGCTCAGGCTGAAGGGGGTCAGCCTTGCCCATGGGGCAGGACCTCTCTTGGAGGGGTGCACAGTCCCGGCACCCTGCACAGCAGCAGCCCAGAGGCAACTCATGATGACGACATAACAGCAACGTTGACCGCAATTTTTCAGACAATAAATCCCACTGATGTAATGCAACTCTGACCGAGCACTACGGTCACTAGAGCCGGGACTAAGCCAAAACCACCTCCAAAGCACAGATGCCCGCAGTGCCCCGGCTCAGAGGGTGCAGAGACTGTGCATTTCCTCGCTGATGGCCTCAGGAATAAGCTCCAAACCCCAAATAGTTTGAGAAAATGGAGTCAAAGAGGCTGGTTATGGCATGGTTGAAACCAGCCCATTCTTCCTTACCGAGGGAACCAGGCTGCGCTTGTTTGGGAAATGGGTGTCCTCTAGTGGATTCAGCATTGCTGAAAATAACTTGCAGTATTCTTACAAGCTGTAGCCTATAACCTTTCTCCATTTGCAGATTTCTGGTTTCTCAGGGAACATGCAGATTGTCCGTGCAATTAACATGACCTCTGACAAGAGACTTCATCACCTATGAGGCATCTGGAAATAATCCCTCCCGTTGAAAATGAGCCCTTGGCTCTCAGATGCATCTGCCACCTCTGGTCTGACTCACCTGAGCAAGCCATCAGCTGGGAGACAGATCGAGTGGTCCCTAAAGCATTTCCCTTGGATTAAATGAAATGACGCATTCTCCATTGCACAGGCTGCAACGCCCTCAGCACACCGAAGCATGCATGTGCACGTCAGGATGCTGAACAGGAGGTCACATCTCATACTGCTCCGGGAACACTTTACTGGCCTGAATTAAAAATTATGGCCGCAAGGGTGGAAGCACAGGGGCTGGGCAGCTGTGCTTCCCAGGAGGGACCTTCCACCACTCCAGCTCAAGCCAACTCTTGCCATTCCAGAAAGCCAAGCAGAGAGCAGCACCACGTCAGCACTGCCTTCTGCTTCACCTCTGCAAACTAGTGCAGCTTAAGGCAGGACAAGATTTTGATTCTCAGCTTCTGTGTCACTCCCTCCTCTGGGCTGCCTCGGTGGCTCTCGGGCTGGGGAGCAGCTCTGTCTGCACGTTTCACCAACACCAGCTGATCTCCGACGCTCACCAACCAAGCTGCGTAATTCAGCAGCCAGGGAGAGGTAAAGCTCCTCTCCCCTCTGCAGTGTGGGAGGCATCCAGCACGGCGGGGAGCTGGGGAGCTGCAACTGGGAGGGAACAGCAGCTGCTTCTGAACCGGCCGGGAAGGCCGCTCTGCCTTCGTTCACCTTCCTGCAAAGGCAACAACTAATGAAGACACTTCAGCATAAAATTAGTAACAAGATGTAGCACGCTTATTTTAGCAAAGTGGCCTTCATCAAGCTCGGAGCTCTTTTTGCTTAATTTTTTCCAAAATAAAAGCCAAGTCAATCACGAAATGCCAGGAGAAGATGTTAACTCTTTATTAATAAATCGATTTAGAAAGGCTTAGCGAGACAGGATTAATGGATTTGATGGTCAAAAAGGACCGCTGTAATCTTCTAGTCTGACCTGCTGCAGAGCACAGGTCTGGGCTTCCTGCAGCCCACCAATCAAGGCAGCTGCAAAAGGGCTTATCTTTTAATCCACGCCATGGAGAGTCTCTGAAAAGTCACTACATTCTGGTCCAATGGTCAGCCTCACTGTGAACACCACGCTCTCTGTTTCCAGTTTTGTTATATCTGACTTCCACTTACAGCCTCTGGCTGTGTCAGCTGAAGTTCTTTAAATAGTATTCTTTATATATTGTGTTTCAAAGTATTAATGACTCTTTTACTCATGACTGCTTTATTTTACAGTATAAAAGTAATAATGGGCTTGATTCTGAACTTAGTTACTCCCAAAACCACGTGGAATAAGTTCATTCCTGAAATGGTTTCAATTTTACATTTGCATAACAGAGACCAAACCCTTCTCCACAAAGGTACAAAACAAGCAAATCCACGGGAGAGCAAGTCAGCTGTCCATGCTCCTCTGGGCCGCCTGCTATGTTGTGTAGACACTCTGAGCAGCTCAGTATGGAATGGTAAAAAAAAGAGTCAGCCGTAAAGTGCTAGTTTTTTTGAGGAACAAATGAAAAGTTTGATTACCAAAGCATGTCATATGTCTGAGCCCAGCTCTGCGCACTGCTTGTCTGATATGTGGTTAGCTAACGACTCTATGATGTCAAGAAGGAGTAGCTGACTTAGGGAGCGGAGATTTGGCAACTTGGAGACCTTCAAGGAAAAGAAAAACAGAACAGAAAAAACAGAAATAAATTAAACCCCTCCCCAAACCATAGCTGATGTATCACCGTTTTACCCCTGCCACCCCACGTGAAACAGGCAGGTCAGGCAAGTCAAAGGCTGGTCACGTATGGCGTGAAATGGCAGTCGCGGAGCTGGGCTGCAGAGGACGGCCCACGGGGGCTCCAGTCACGACTTCCTGTGCTTACAACCCAATTTGAGACTGCTGCATGGAGGGGACGGGAACGGAGAACAGCAGAAATGCTGACCCCAGCACTGCCTCTCTGAGAAAGGAGTCTAATTACTGGCTCTATTGACAACTCTGCCGCTAATGGATGCCAACTAAGCACTCTCCTAAAAAGCAAAGTCGGGCACCAGCACAGATCTGAACTTCGAAGTCTGTGTGTTTCTACGGAGAATGTGACTTGGGACCTGATCTCTTCGCTCCTGTGTGCTCCTAAGGAGAGGTCGTGCTTAGTGTCCATGCTGGTTTTGCTGGCACGCCTCCCCCAGTCAAAGCAGGTCACTGGAGCACTAGCCAACAAAAACCTTTGCCACGTCAGATATATGGGAATCTACAACAAACTTCATGCTCTTAGGCTGTTCAGAAGCTCAACTGTTATCAAAAAGGAGCTCTACACATTCCTTCCTTCTCCACAACCTCGTAGTAATGAGCCAGTAATCCCTCTTTCGAGAGTTATTAACATACATGCCCAGCCTTGAAGGCAGACTCTGCCTAAAAGCCTGTCCACTTATCCAACCTGTATTAACTGATCTAATAAAATAAATCACCTCACTCTAAGAAGCTCGACTGTGATAAAGAACAAAGATGTCCCGAGCATCTTTTGAAACCCAGGAAGGAAACGGCTGAGTACGCTTTCAGAAAGAGCTCAGGACATGTGCTTCAA